TCTCTCTCTCTCTCTCTCTCTCTCTCTCTCTCTCTCTCGTTCTCTCTGTCTCTCTCTGTTTCTTTCTCTCTGTCTCTCTCTCATTGTCACTCAACCTTTCCCACCTCTTCTCTAAACTAAACTTGCTCTAGTTGTGGTCATGACTCTAATGATTAAACAAAGGTCAATGCCTTGTTTTTATGGAGGATCCACGCTTCACGGTTTTGACTGGCAAAGTATGACGAGTCGATATCATTGATTATTGTTCATGATTGGCGACTGTTATGCAGGGCATGCCGGTCTGCTGAATTCTTCTCTTTTACGATACAGAGAGTCATCCGCAGCGCTGCATCAGAAAGTGGGAGAGGAAGAGAAGGAGCAAAAACAGAGAGAGAGAGAGAGAGAGAGAGAGAGAGAGAGAGAGAGAGAGAACGAGACAGAGAGAGGGAGAGACAGAGAGAAAGAGAGGGGGTGAGAGAGATATATATATATATATATATATATATATATATAAAGAGAGAGACAGGGAGAGAATGAGAGAGAGGGAGGGAGAGAGAGAGAGAGAGAGAGAGAGAGAGAGAAAGAGAGAGAGAGAGAGAGAGAGAGAGAGAGAGAGAGAAAGGGGGTAGGGGGAGTTTGGGGGTTATTTATTTCAACCATGACAACAATCCAACCATAAACAACAAGCTTAGCACGAATATACATACAAAAATAGAGCAGTCGTAGAGACACAAAATACTATAACATTATTGAAAATCAAAACCAGAAAGGAAACAAAAAGTTACCACTTGTAATATTAAAATGGGTCAGAAAAATGTTATGCACGCTACTTGTGGCTGGTCGAGAAAGTGATTTATTGTTCAGATCTGATCTGATTTGGAGGCAACAAACTAAGTATGGCCTACAACCGACAATTTTAAAACAAACTGAAACTATAAACAAACAGGAAAATTAAGAAAATATGAAAATCAAGCAGCAACCAATAATGATAGATTATCAGTATAAATGATTACATAGAATAAATAACGCTGATCATCACGTTCACGTTCAATAGGCGACATGTTGAAACCACTGAACTCTACCCTCTACTGGAGTTGGAATGGATAGTGTGGCGTTCAGTGGTTGTCGTAACCTCAGATAAGACTAACGGAAATTTTGACGTCAGCTGGCGCTATATAGTTCAATGCCCAGTACTCAATTAACTATCGTTTTTACAGTTATGATGATTTTTCAATTCAATTTATATTTTGGCTTCGTTGGCGGATTTAGGATTCAGTCATAGATTTTAAAAAGAGCTGACGACCCCCACCCGCATCCCCCCCCCCCCTCAAAAAAGGAGGAAGAAAGTGTAAAAGGAAAAACAACAGAAATAACACAAGAAAAGAAGGAGAGAGAGAAAAAGAGAGAAAAAGAGAGAGGGGGAGATAGAAAGAAAGAAAAGAAAAGTTACCAACTCCAACTAAACAAAATGTTGAAGTCATGAAAATGTTAGGTAATGTATTAACATATATTTTGCTCTCTCTCTCTCTCTCTCTCTCTCTTTCATTCTCTCTCCCAAGGGACCTAACTGTAAGACATGTTAAAATTATCCCCTTTCTTTCGATAGTACGTTTTTCCTTGCTTTCTCTCCTTCTCTCGATCCCTTTCTTAACCCCAAGCTCCCGAAACCTCTCTAACCCCACCACCACCTCTCCCCTCTCTCTCTCTCTCTCTCTCTCTCTCTCTCTCTCTCTCTCTCTCTCTCTCTTTCTCTCTATGGTACCTTTCCTTAGTCCTCTCATCTTCTCAGTCACCAACAGTCAAATTGGAAGCCTTAATGTAATTTCCCATCGCTTTATATTAAAGCACATTTATTCATTAAACCACTGTACTTACAATTACACTAGAACATTGGAAGGTTACCAATCATATTATGTTAACAAAATTCAGCCTCAGTTGTATGATATAAAATAAATCACAGACAAAGTAAATAAATATGACTCATTTGAAGACGTTAGTGTTAAATATACAAATCAGGTGCCAGAATGTGTAGAAAATATATAAAAATAAACAAAACATACATCGGAATATGACAAGAAAAAAAAGTCAAATCTTCTCCAATACAGATTAAATCATGAGGTCTTCATACTAGTGAATACAGGATGAATACAGGCCAGATGAATACTAAGGAAAAGATACATTGATCTCATAATTCAAGGTTTTCAAAAAAATGAAGAAATATCCTATTTTCTGACTATTGCCTGCTATGATAGCATGTCATGTACATGAGCATAGAGAACCTTTAAATCTAGTGTGATATTTCCATTTAAAAACAAAAAACATAATGATACAAATTTGCCTTCCAGACTTATTCCAGATTTTGTAATATTTTTTTAATTATTACATTGATCATTTAAATTTTAAAAATATTAATGATCATAATAATAATAATAATAATAAGAAGAAGAAGAAATATATTGATTGAGAGATGATTTGTAAGCTTATAAACATATATCTTCTTTGCATTCCTTCAACAACACAATCGCAACTACTTCTGAACTACAATGACGTATTACATAATACTAACATCTTTATACGCTTTGGTCTGAAATGCCTTTGGGTTGATTTTTCAAAAATAGTTGCGATCGTGCTCAACCAAAATTATTGAACTGTCCATACATCATATTGCATTATACCAATAATCAACTTCTATTTAGCGTTAAATACTATTATGAGCATGATTACATCAAGAAACTAGGAAACAATAGAAGTCCTGTTTCGATAATTGAATGGGCTTATTCTTACAAAAGTTCCAATATTACTCTACAAGTTGAAAATATTAAGATTAGATTGCCACAAACAGTCCCAATCACATTAATCAATGCGGTTATAACACTTTTTATCAAACACTATAGCTATTTCAAGCAATAACTACAAAAATAATCATTATTATAACTAGTATATATTCAATTCTTATATAAAACTGACTATCCAAATAGCTTTTCCTTATGCTAAATTTCAGCAACAACAAAGTCACCAAACTTCAGGCAAAGAGTTTTCAGCACAGAATAATGTTGAGATGAACAAAATATGTCTACATCTTAACAGAAAATTATGGGAGTTGAAACTTAAATCATGACCACAAAAAAAATTATCCAAACTTTCAATGTCAATGTCTACTGAAACCATTTCCCCATTCAGTATATATCTCTCATTACTTGTTTAATTTCCCAAATAATGATACCCAAGCATATCAAACTAAATATTGACAGAATATCAGCCTCTATATGTGAAAACATCCTGCAAATGAAATTAATGAATACATGAACTGTCCAGTCAAGGTGACTTGAAACATCAATACCAGATCATAGTGGGAGAAAGCCCTCTCCAATAGCTACAGGAAACTAAATAGCTCCCTCTACAGTTGTATGTGGTCAGTGAAGTGATTGGGCTCTGGTATTCAACCTTGTCAAATGTGTTATGCACTATGCAAGGAGTTTAAGGTAAATAGACGTGATGATTATCATCATTATTCAAAGAATAAATATATGATCATACATTATTATCTACACTAATTTTACATGGATTTTAGATACATTTCATAGCAAACATTTAAAGACATGTATAATGTTACAAGCTATCTGACTGACATGGTAGGCACAATGAAGGACGGCTGTTATTTTAATCCATAATCGGTGAGAACAAGTGACTATCCATATGAAACTCCTCAACTAGTCAACTTCATAAAATAGCTGTGTATCATTGAGCTGAAAATTTAAATTGTCATGACGGCATAAAAGCTCCAAAATATTATTGTAATTATTTGATTATTAATGACATAAAATATGAGTTGCTAAGAAAATTGTCCAGTACTCTTCAAATGATAAATTATGAAGACGAACAGCTTACCGAACTATAATGACCATCATAAATATAAAATAAAGAGAAAGAGCTCCAAGAGCTGATGGTGATTCGGCCCCCTTAACTCTTGTGCAGATGCATATTTAACATGCAAAAATATTGCATCTCGATTGCAAAGTATGAGATAAAAGCGTTCCTTGTGAATCGGATTGAAATCTATCCCCTGGTATAAGGAGCAACATATTATAGCTCCAAAATTCTACTGGTTACATTTTGTATACTCTTGTAAATGAAATATAGTCTTCACATGTATCTGTAAAGGTCAATTCTCTGGACAAAACACAACCAAGAAGTCATCTTTGTTCATATGTTAATGAAGAGAGAGGAATGATGTATTGTCTTATTATGGATAAATCAATCCTAAACAAAGGTTCTGTGTTTCAAGAACTATATTGAGCCAAAACTTGTAAATATCTGAAAAATTGTTTTTTGTATCGAAATAATGGTAATTCTTGCAATTTTTTCATTATTGTATGATGGCAAGGGTTCACTGAGTTATATTTAAATACAAGAAATCAAAGGGAATCATAAAAAAGACCAATAACTTATGATACACATACTGTACATGTACTAAGAATACAGATACTCCTAATCAATAATCATTCCAATGCTATTGAAGAAATGAGATGTACTTAAACATGAATCGTTTGAGTATGTTTTCATTTCTGAAATATGACATTCATGCTTCTGCTATACAGATATTACAAATAGATAAGCGATCATTTTTAAAACTCTTTGGTAACATCTGAGATGATTATTACACACATTTGGCAAACCCTACCATATGAAAAAACACTGAATTATTCACATCAATGATCACCAATTCATGATACATGGACACACATACAAAATGGGTGTAGTCAAAACGAGAGGGAAACAATGATGCACCAGAAGATAGAGAGAACAAAAACAGAAACAGAAACATAAACAGGGAGACTGGAAATAAAGACAGAGAGACAGAGAGAGAGAGAAAGAGAGAGAGAGAGAGAGAGAGAGAGAGAGAGAGAGAAAGAGAGAGAGAAAGAGAGAGGGGGAGTGAGAGAGAGAGAGAGAGATGAATCCATAAGTCAGGGATATATGGCCATAAAGCAGATCATTGCTATTTTCTTTGTTTCAAATTACAAAATATTGAGAGCAACTCTAGTTCGCATTGACATAGAACTTTGATTGGTAGAGCTTTTTAAAGTTGAGACCCATTCTTCAACTAAATATTATCGTTCAAGAACTATATCTAAGCTGACAACATCCATGAAGGGCCATACTTTTTACTTGATTTATTTATCTTACAATCATCAAAATTGTTAGGCAGATATCCTTTATTTATTGTCTTGAACATTTGGAATACCAGAAGTAAGTTTTGATGTCTTCTTTTCTACCACTGCCAGAACTCAAGATTACCCGAGTAAAGAATGTGATGAGGAATTTAATGTAACAATAAAGGGAACAAAGAAAAAGTAGACGACATTTATACTACGGTATATATCTGTAAACTCACTCTTGGTCGACACATAAGTGACTGGCAATACATTTTTGATATCTTTATACTTGTAACACAGCATTTAGCAATATGTAAATATTTAGCAAATGTAATCAACATACCGGTAGACAAAAACGTGAGATGGAATGTACTGCGCAATTATCATGCATGTAAAATCAAAACAATCATAATTTCAATAAAATTAATCTTGGTATAGCACAATACATTGAAACAATGTCTCTGTGCTAATTTATTCTCAATAATTGGCTTCAGTTCTCCTATTACAAGGTATAAATCGTAATGTAGATACATTGCCTCATCTCGGGGCATGCAAGCATCAGGCAGAGATTTGAACCCTACAGGTCTAAATTGAAAGCTTAATGAATGAACCACTAGGTCACACTGCTCCCACACGCAAATACATGCATATGAAGGAGGCATTGCCATTCAACAATTTAAAAAAAACTATTTTGCGTTAAGATATAATTAATATTTTGACTAAACTCTGTCTGTCTGCACTCTCCAGCCTGTATTACCTTCTCGTTTCATCGCCCCAGTGAAAATTCTGCCCTATCATGGAATAGAACCTTTCATTGTGGGGCTTGAAATATTTATAGACTTTATATATTATAGAGGGCGATATCTGGGGGTGCTCCCTCCCCTTGGTGTCCCCTAGACAGTTCGCGTCCGTGTCCTCCACTGCTTTCTTCACGCAGTAGAACCCTTTGGTGGAATTAAAGATGAAGTATTTCTCATCAATGACCTTATCTATTTTGAGGAATTCTTGCAATTTGATGAGCTGCGGCACAGGGTTCTTTATCATCTCGTCACCATTGATGAAAAGGAATTGTGATCGTGGAAAGTATTTGAACCAACGTTCTAAGTGGTCGGCGTACCTACCTACCATGAGAGCATAATAATTGTCATCTACAACCCCCGTTTGCGGATCAGGGACTGCCAACCTCTCAAATTCATTCTCTTTTCTTCGCCCCGTTGCTATGGATTGGGCATAGTCGGATATTGCACGGATGACAGGGTCGCGTACGACGACGATGAGTTTGATATCTTTGCCCAGCTTGTGTATCCGCTCAGGTGCTTCTTCTGTTATGTAATAGCCAGGAGTCTTCTCAATGGTGATCTGACCTGGTTTACTGACAGGCATATTATCTCTGCAATTTGGAAGAGAAAAAAGAGAAAAATAAAATGTAACATGGATTCATGTTTAGAGGAAAATGAGGGTTTTTTTAATACGTGTACATATACTGTAGGTGAAACAATATTCAATTGCCTGGTATGCAATTAATCATCAATTAGAATAATGACATGTTTGTAGTTTTATGATAACCATGATAACTAATAATAATAACAATGATGATGATGATACTGATGATGGTGGTGCTGATGATTATGATTAGGATGATGGTGATGATGATGATGATGATGATGGTGATGGTGGTGGTGATGGTGGTGGTGATGAATATTCTGATGATAACGGACACACTATAATAACAAATTTCTTACAATTACAAAGTTACAATTATCTTTAACGGGTTTAAATGTAGCATAATGTCGCAACTTTAAAATGCCAACTCATCATATGACAAAGAGTGATGTAGCAGCTAGAAGCACGTACAGCTAGGCGCGCTCAGCTAACATCTCCAATTTAGATGCAAATTCATGTGCAGCAGCATCGTCATCCCACTAGGTAAGAAGAGAATTCTCAGAGTGCCCCAGCATGACATATCAAGAGTAGCAGGTGTAATCGAGCAATGCATGGAAACTCAATGCTAGAATTCAACAACAGACGGAGGCTGCATGGAGCTAGCTCACAGTCCCATTAAAAGTCAGCTGTCATCCGCTCTGCACGAACATTGCTTTTGCAGAACCAGGGTTAATGTGAGATGGAACATTGCTCAGATGTAGATTTGTATAATTTGTTCTCAAGCAAGTTTCAGAGGCTGGGGGGAGGGGGGAGGGGGGAGGGGGGGGGAGGGGGGAGGGGGAGGGGGGAGGGGGAGGGGGGTGCCTGTTCATGATTTCATACTCTAATATCTCATTTGCTGAGAGCCAGAAGGGCATTATCTCCATATTAAGTTACATGAGTTAATGTCTTTCTCTCGCTCTCTATGCATATGATCTAAGAATAATATGGATACCAATATACTACCTCCATATGCTCTTACTGGTTTGAGATTTCAAATATATATATGACCTAACAAAGTGCGCATTCATGTTTTTGTTTTTTCTTTAATAGGGACGATATCTTATGCATGCTTGATGTGATACCTCACAGTAAATAAAAGCACTTATAATGTATGTAGATCATGGCAAGTAACAACAGGAAGATATATGTATATCAGATAATGTCTCATCAAGTTGTCCTCCATAGGCTTAAGATTTGCAAATTAATAATTCTGTATTTTGTTAATTTAACTAGAATAAAAAACCCAATTAATTCATACCATACACTCAATAGAGATATTTTCACATCATGCATGTATCTACCGTACTACATAATAAAGCTGACATAGGCCTCTATAGAAACCTTTAATAAGACGGTCATCTATCCATGCCTTTACTGTTACACATGACCCCATATCGCAACATAATACATCATCTTTGATAATGCCAGCAGCTGTCATTGATGTTTTCATGTCCTCCTGAACATAGACATACACTCTCTTAATAAAAACTTCAATTAGAATCTCGGGGAGTTCAATGATGGTTGTTCTTGATGTTGACTGACGACTATCCAAAGTGACCTATTTGCTGACACACTTGCCAAAATCGCTGCAAAAGAGGTGTAATTTGCTTGGATAAGAAGACCCTGGAATTTTGTGCAAATACCTGCAAATCTTCCAATTTCCAAAGGAAAGCAAGCAAGAGATGTAAGAAAAGCAACCTTTGGTCCTTCACAGCTAGGATTCCAATCTTCAAGTGTGATGGTGTTGAGAGACAAAGTCAAAGGGTTGTCTCTTACACCCTCTGCTATGTGTCTTTGCCCTGGAGAGCATGCGAGGTGTGAAATAGAGAACATCTGACATATCTTTTCATAACAAATAGTAAAATAGCCAGTCTTTATGAACTAATCTTTCCCAAACTATTTTAGTTCTATAATTACTAGAAAACTAACGAAATTACAACATGAAACTTTTTTAATTGATAACAATGGACATTTTGTAGAAGGAAGCTTTCTCAAATTGCAAAATTTAGAGTTGTAATTTAAGTTATTTTGTGGCATAAAACTTTCACAAATTCTTCTTCTTCTTCTTCAAGATAATCTGCCTCCTTCAATACTGAAGATTCTTGCAGATGCCGTATACTCGGCCTGGTTGGACCTATTGCAAACAAATCATGCATGCAAATGTTTTGTTTCACACAAACCAGGGAACATGTCTCTACAATAACATTTCCTAAAGTTTTAACATTCGAGTGATTCTAGTATATTTTATTTAATGAGGCTCACAGAGTGGGTCGACAGGTACACTAAGCAAGAACAGAAATGTAATATTTTCAGGCAGTATTCGTTCGTATTTCTGGTAAAACACTCATTTTTCAAGTTCGTTGACTCTTCTTTTACCAGACTTCCTTCCAAATCATGAAAACTAACCCACAAAATTCACAGCATCAACAGAACGTAAATCATCTAAACATCTTGCCACCATCTTGGCCAATCTTGCCTTCATCCCCACTAGCTCCTTGCCTCATTGGGGTCAATTCAAGCCTTTTGTCCTCCCCTGACCCTTCTCGTCTCCGCAAGCAACCCCTCTACACTCCCTGGGTTGCTACGGCTGGTAGTGGAGGGATGTTTTCCTACGGTACCTACTCAGGTTTATCTTAGAGCTGTAAGCAAACAGGAATATTAAGAAGGATGGAGGGTGGAATGAAGAAGGGCTTAAACAGACCCAGCATTCCTCCATATAAAAGCAATTTTGGCAAGCGGTAAATACCAGTGCTGACCCAGTTAAAAGGTGATAAGGTGCCCTATTAGCAACGGTGAACCTAGTTTAGAGGGTACTTTCAAATAGGAAAAAAAATATAGATTGAACAAGCTTTGAAGATACGTAGAAAGTGGACGAAGGGCAACACTTTCTCTTTTCTAAGAGAGAAAGGGGGTGCTCACATATTATTAATAATAGTATGTTGGATTGGTAAGGGGCTTTATCCAGAGGATACAAAACACTAAATACACTCATTATCCTTGCTTTTACCAAGCTATACCCTGATAAGATGCTCAAGCATTCAAGGAAATCTCCCTACCGGGTACCTATTTACTTGACCTGGGTTAAGAGTGGCAAAATTAGAATGTCTTGCCAAAGGACATGGGTGCCATGGCAGGGATTCCAACTTGTACCATAGTCTGGCAGGTGACCTATCCACTGAATAACACCTAACATCAGGGAGTAACAACACTATATCTTCCACAGCATAACCTATTCAGAGATCACTAAAGAAGTCGATGCACAATATCAGCATGCTTTTCTTCAAAGTCTTTCCTTTCTAAATCATTTTCTTCTCTACCGTTACATAATTAAAACATCACTAATGAGATTTATTAAAATACAAATTGTACTCAAGGCCTATATAAATGTAATAAGGGCTACAGTCACATATGATTGAAAACACAATCTGTCTATACATAGAGGATGTATGGATGTTGGATATCTGTGCTGCTGGATCATTAGCATCAAATCAGTGAGCACCAATAACTATCATTATCATCAATTGATCATTATTATTGTTATCATTATCAGGGACAGATGAGTACCTGTTGGACTTTTTTTTCTTTTTCAAGAAACCATCATTACAACAAGTTTGCTAACATCCTATTGTAGCATAATAAACTTGTATTATAACGGGATGTCAGGAAACTGTGACTTTAATATGACAGTCTCATTAAAAAAAAATGCCCAGTAGTTTGACTTGATTCATATATACTCTTGGGTTCAATGATAATCATATCTTATGACATATACACATAACTGTTGCAAAGCATTTTCATTTTAAAAGTTAAAAATGAAGATTCTAGCAGACCTTATAGTTACATGTATATTTTTTTAAAACGTAGCTGTATCATCAATTTAGATAAACTCGTCTTTTTGACACAATAGGCCCGTCTTCACTATCTCGAGATTGCCAAATATCCAGCTATTTGAACTATCCCGATCGCAAACTATCCAGCTAATTGCGTCTTCATTAGAACGAAGTAGCAAATTAGCTGGATAGTTGGTCGGGATAATATCCCAAGATATCTCGGTCTAGTTTGCAAAATATCCCACTATTTTCGAACTAGCGGGATAGTTTGCGACCGTCTTCATTAGACCGAAGTACGGAGTCAAATATCCCGATCCCATCATGCACCGCTGAGCGGTATAGATCGCATGTGCGCGCGCTAGTACAACTAGTTAACACGGTGAACCGGAAATCGTTGTGCATGATGGGATCGGGATATTTGACTCCGCACTTCGGTCTAATGAAGACGGTCGCAAACTATCCCGCTAGTTCGGAAATAGTGGGATATTTTGCAAACTAGACCAAGATATCTTGGGATATTATCCCGACCAACTATCCAGCTAATTTGCTACTTCGTTCTAATGAAGACGCAAATTGGCTGGATAGTTTGCGATCGGGATAGTTCAAATAGCTGGATATTTGGCAATCTCGAGATAGTGCAGACACGCCTAAAGAAGGATATATATTCACTGCTTTGTAACTTAAGAAGCGTATGAGAATCAGGGAAATCCCTGCAAACGGCTTTGTTCATTGACGTAAATCATTTGTTTATGTTCATCAACCCATCGACTGGGCAGTAAGACACAGAAAGAAGAAAAGAAATTAAAGCCAGCATAACATCTTATAATCACCAATTATTCAAAGAGAGTCACAATGGATTATTATGCTTCAATGCAATCTGATTACAGGCCCAAGAGAGCTTTAATATGAGCATCAGGGAAATTCTTTCCCTAGAATTAGAAGCAAGAATCTTGTCTCATTGAGGTACAACTAAATTATTAAACCATCGACTGGGCACTAATACTCTTTTCACACTGGTTTTGCTTAACCCCGTACTTTGCTTAGCCCCGTACTATCCTTAACCCCGGACTATTTTTTTGGCTTTTCACACACGCTGTTTTTAGTCCATTCATTTGCTTAGCACCGCTAATGCGGGGTTAGCAGGAGTTA